TGCCCAAGCCCACCCGGGCCGGCGCCGCATCCATGTTGATCCAGAAGGAGACCCAAGAGAGGATGACGATGAGCAGGCTGGGGATGTACATCTGGATCAGGTAGTAACCCATCTGCCTTTCCAGGTGGAACTTCACTTCGATGCAGGTGAACTTGCCTGCGGGGGAAAGACAGCCCCGGTGGGCGAGAGGGACCCCCGGGTCAGGGCAAGGCCTGGGATGCCTCACCTGTGTTGTAGTACTTGGTGCAATAGCCCAGGTCCTTCTCATCCCGGAGGATGAACTGTGGGAGCGTCAAGCCCTCTGCCACCTGCACGGCCTCCTGCTCCTCCAGCCACTCAAAGATGAGGTCGTTCATGGTGTAGCCAACTGGAGGGGATGGAAGGAGCCATGGGATCAGGCGGGACATGCACCCTGTTCATCCTCACCCTGCTCGCCTCCCTCAGGGGCAGAGAGATGTCAGTATTTGCGGTGGGGTGGGATAAGATGGGATGGGATGGGATGGGATAGGATGGGATGGAGAGGGACAAAGCACAACTTGAACCCTCTCAGTACTCACAGCTCTCCAGCTGCATGGTGCATGTCTGGATGTCCATGGGGAAATTCTTGAGGTCCATGGGGCAGGACAGGATCAGTGTCAGCCTGGAGGAGGCAGAGGGGGTGGCTGAGGCAGTTGAAGGGGAAAACCTGCCCCACGTGAGACAAGAAAGCTTTGCCTCCCCGCTTGGGCACTGCACCAGAGGAGAAAAGTTCTACCTAATGCTGTAGAGCACGTTGCCGTTCTTGAAGATGCGCAGCAGCTTGTTGTCGGTGGTGACCTCATGGAAATTGGCCCCTTTCTCATTGGCGAAGAACAAGTCTGGCTTCCAGATGGAGTCAAGCATGGAGGGGTCGAGGTCGAGGGAGTCGTCAGGGTACTCGTGGTAAGCCAGGCGGGGGTCATTCCACTGCTGCCGCAGGAAGACGTTCACCCGGTAGTCCTGGGGCAGAGGGCAACGCGTCAGCCAGGAGCAACCCACAGAGCCCAGGGAGGCAGCGGGGAGGAAAAGATGGAGGAAGAAGAAGGGATGGAACAGGAGGTGGAAAGGGGTCTCTCAGTCAAGGCTGAGCCCTGCAGGTGCTGCCTGCCTGACACTAACCAGGCATGGGGCAGGGGCAACTCAGGAGCCTCCCCGTGCTGTCAGCAGCCAGAGGCAACTTAAAAGCCAAAACCAGGGCAGCTGAGAGGAGGAGAAGAAGGAGGACCAGGAGCTGCTGCCTGCAGTGTTCTCACAGAGCTCTTTGGCCCCATAGGGGAGTGATTTCATGACTGATGGGACTGAAGTCTTTGCAGCAGCACAAATAGGGAAATTTTAGCCCTGGGGCTTCCTCAGAGGAGTTCCTCGTACACGAGAGGGGTCTAAGGATGGTGGAGGAAGCTGGGCATGGCAGAGACACAGAGCTCTCTTGCGTTGTACAGCACCTGCCAGGGCTGCAAACAGCAGAGAGCTGCTGGCAGTTGCCTTGCTCCAATCCTCTGGGACCTTTCCTCTAGCTCAGGCTTAGGGAATGTGGCCCACACTGTCAAGCTCTGCTTAACTGAACCCAGAAAAGCCACAGCCATTTGCTATGGCCCTGTGCGTCCCTACCGTAATGCCAGGGCAGACTCTGGAGAATGGCTCACAGGAGCCCTGTAAGCATGGCCACGGGCTTGGGCACAGTGACACACACGCTCCCTGGCAGAGCACCAGGAGAGGAGCCCGTCGTGCCGGCGAAACCCTCACCATGGTGGTCTCGGTGACGGAGCCGAAGCTGTTGATGAAGATATTGCAAGTCACGTTGACTGGCGGACCTGGAAAACAGCGTGAAGTCTCCTCTTGCTGCTGGTCCAGGGTGACCCAAGCACCATACAGGCAGACGTGGGGCAGCGGCCT